GTTTTTATATGGTAGAGGCTTGACCTTCCCTCCATAACTGCAAGAGAAACTTTTTTGGGCTATTCTAGGCATTTTACACACATTACTATGATAATTGTGCTCATGTGTACCTGTACCAGAATAAACTTACTTGGTACTACTCTTGTAAGGCATACAGTGACAAAATTAACCATTAATATATTGTATATTCTGTTCAGTTATGCTCTTTGAAGTGGTAATATATATATTTCAGCCAAGATATAGTTTTTTTTTTTACCATACATTGTCATATACGAATTGCTTAACCTAAAAAAAAAAATTCTTCCGTTGTCTTAATAGTTCTTGTTCTTTATTTACCCTTATAGCCATGGGGGAGTGGAACAGAATTCTTCCTCCATAAGCTGTGTGTGTTGTAAGAGGCAATGAAAATGCCAAAAGCAAGGGACTAATAACCCCTTCTCCAGTATAAGTTACTCAATTTAAAAAGAAAAACTTTTCTTTTTAGGTCACCCTGCCTCGGTGGGATGTGGCCAATTTGTTAAAAAAATTCAGATGGTTGTGTATGCATATGTATTAGTTTCCTGAGGTTTGATTTGTGTTCCTTGAAAGGTTAGCCAACATTATTACACCCAGAGGTGTCCCATGTTTATTTCATGATATTGCATTTTATATGTAGAGTAGATAGTTATATTACCCAATAGTTACATTCCTGAAAATGTAGTGTTAGGTAAATCCATGTTGGATAAATGGAAGAACTTATGGGAAAAATAGGGTTACATTCCTGGGACTTCCCAAAGAGTCAAACAATTTTTTTTTAGATATCCAGATCTTAAAAAAATAAAAATGATAATGTTTTTGTTGCTTAACCTACAAATGAAACAGAAATAATATTGTTTACCTTAAATTGTGGTTCTGGTGTATGTCAGTGATTGTGAAGAGTGGAGATGCATGGTGTGGTCCTACTGGGCTGAGGTGGATGGTTGAGGTTCTGGTTGTATTGGAATGTGCATAAATTCTATAATGGATCTCTGGGCTCTTTCCCTCTGCAGTACATTATACAGCTGATAGTAAGGCATCATCAGCTGCTCTAAACCCCATTTCAAAGCACTGCTTCTAGATTTGTCACGGTCCTCTTCAGTGAAAAAGTCTGCTAGTTTAGCAGCAACATGGAACTGCTGCAATGTTAAGTTTTTCTTCGGGTTGTTTTTTATCTGGCTCCCTTGTATATGTGCATCGAGCTCTGCCAGTATTTCCTCTAGACTCCTGTCTTCATCATCACTGACATCTTCGTTCATATCTTCAAAACCATCACCTGGTAATTATCCCAGCTGAACAATTTCCTGAACCTGACTCCTCTCAAGCAAGGGAAAACCAGTGAAGAATTAACTACAGAAGGCCATAACTTTCCCCAGCCTGCATTTAACCCTTTCAGGGTCCAAGGCCAAAATCTGAAGTCACGCACCAGTGTCCAAGAATTTTCCAAAAAAATATTTGTTATTTTTTCTTATGAAATGGTAGAGAATCTTTTTGTGAAGGTAATAAAACAAAAAGTACGAAATTTGATGGAAAATTGACGAAATTATGCTCTTGCGAATTTTGATGTGTCAGCGATATTTACGAATCGGCGATTTTGCCGACTTTGACTTCCATTTTAGGCCAATTACATCATTCCAGTCGACCAAATTCTTAGCTATTTTACTAGTATTACTTCTATTCTATCAATTGAGCACAAGAAATCGCCAAGTCAACTGTTTCAACTACAAAATAAAGTGATCGGAAACTGGTAATTTGGCCAATTTAACACAAAGTTCAAAATATTCCAATTTCAAAATAGCATCCAGAATAAACAATGTAGGCATTCCTGGCACTAAACTAACATATCCTCGGTTCATTAGTTACGTTTTGAGGCTTTACAAATAAATCCCATTTTTATTTTTTATTTACATAATGAATTTTTATTCACACCAAAAAATAGAAGATTTACTGTTATGCAATATTGTAATAATTGTATAAATATCATCACCACATTTGTGAATGTGTATTAGATCCACCAGCTGGCATGTATTAGACGCGTGAGGTCGTTTGTTTACTCTTGAACATCGACAAAAATTTAACATTTCCGCTACTTTGAGCTCAGTTTCAAGCCATTTCCGGTGCTAAAACCAATCAAAATCATCTCTATTTCTGTAATATGTCTTCCATTCTATCAAATGAGGCCAAGAAATTGCAAATACAACTATAAAAAACATACGAAAAAACACTGCAAAGTTGCTGTTTTAATCAAAAATCTTGGTTTCAGTTTTTTTCTCTCATTATACACAGTGTGCTGCAGGATTTGTTTTATGTGGTGCACACATACCACATAGATGTATTCTCTCATATCTAGGCCCAAGTGTACCACTCACAGTTTATCAAAGTGAGCTGAGCTCATGACGTAGATCTACGGTTTGGACACTGAACGCAAAGCCGTAGATCTACGGGACGGACCCTGAAAGGGTTAATGTTGATTAGGGCACTTCATTCCATGCACTACTAACACAGCTGATGGCATCCGCAATGTTAAATATATTCCAGAAGCTTGACACTGCCAGGTTGGAGTCCTTTGATGCAACTAGTTTTTTCATAACTTATATAGTTACACTTGAATGACTTAAGAACTCCCTAAGCCAGTGGTTGTATTAAAGATGTATTTTGGATGTGGAGTCACATCCAGCACAGCTTCTAGATAAGTATGGGAATTATCAAGAATGAAGAGAGCCTTAAATACAAGGTTCTTGCTGTGCAGGTAAAACCTGACTTCAGAAATAGTGATGCTTAAACCAGTCAATAAATATTTCTTATGTCATCCATGCTGACTGGTTTGACCTCCAAATTACTGGTAAGGTGTTTTTATCTACACCCTTCAAAATACGAGGATTCTTAGAGCAGTAAATAACCATGGGCTTACACTTTAAATCACCTGACAAATTATCACAAAGAAGCAAAGTGAAGTGATCCTTTGCTGTCTTAAAGCCCAGTGCACTTTTCTCTTGCTGACTGATATAAGTTCTTGCTGGCATTTTCTTCCAAAAAACACTTGTCTCATCAGCATTAAACACTTGATGTTGTATGATCAGCTGAAGCACTTTCACCAGAAAACTTAATATGTAAGTAATTACACAACTTTAAGTTGTGGAACCAGGCTGTGCTAAACATGCACTCTTTTTCAAGCCTTCCTTATCACTCACTACACACTGTTTTAAACAACTGCAAGGTCTTTTCCCTAATTACGCTGAAATTAAGTGATGCACCTTTGTTGTTTGTTCAATCCACTCAGTTTTCCATTTACTTGTGATCTACATGTCATTCTTTTCATGAGTTGACATCCTGGGTTATTCATTACACAAGCTTATATATATATATTCACCTCATTCTCTTTAACTGTACAAACTGACACTTCATTAAGGCCATAAGCTCTCGCTATATCCACCACACGTGAGCCCTCTTAAGCCTATCTTAATACCTCAATTTTCTTCATAACTTCAAGACTTAAACCTTTTCTTGCGACTTTCAGCAACACTTGTATGCCTACTGTGTGCCATGATTGCTTGGCAGATAAAAGATATAGCAATTAAAAGATCAAAACACAATCCACAAACACAGCTAGCTCCTAGGAGAGAATGGTCCAACATGTGTATGAACCGAAGGCTGGGACAAAGGTGGCAGTAGGTCTCCCTTGTTGACTCGATGGTCTAACCCACAGCCAGGCAGCAGCCCGAGTTGGGAAAATATCCCATGGGCAATGCTCCATATTTTTTTTCCTCCTGCAAACCAAACTGTATTAAGTTAATTTTATGAAGTGTTGCATAAAACTGTGCCACAATTTTTCAATAGTGAAATAACCAAAACATGGCAAATAAATCTGTGTTATATAACAGTCTACTGTAGTCTGATGGGGAAGCACCTGGTGGAATGGGAGACTTTTAGATGCAGTCCAAGGAAGAATTGCATAGATCTCATTCCTTAAGTAAAGAGCACTTCACCAGTATCAAGGAACCTCTTGAATTCATGTTTTCCGTAACTCATCACTGTTGATCATGTTATTCTCCACTGAAATTTTTTCGTGTTCTCTGTCGAGATGGTTTTCTTATCTGCAAACGATATGTAACATTCAACTGAATGGGCCCATTCATATATGCTGTGACCTCTTTTGAGAGTCTTCCTTCTGCAAGAACAAGTGTACAAGCCTTCAAGAGAAAACTGAGTTACTACCTCTTAAGTGTCAGATCTACAGGGCTGTGATACATGTTGGGCCAGTAGGCCTCAAACAGCAACAACCTGGTTGATCATACCATTTTTAAGTTCTGAGTTTTTCTACTCCAAGCCCATCTTGGGCCAGGCTTATCCAAGCAAACACTAGAAAAGCCTGGCCCAGGCTGGGCTACAGGAGTAGAAAGACTATGCCAATTTGAGCTTCTAACAGACAGGTAGCTTTTGAGATTTGACATGCAGTTTTCAATATAAGATAACATTTATGAAACATTCAGACAAAAACAGTTAAATTCTAGAAGTGGGATATAATGTACATAGCATTCTGAAGGATGGCTGGGGATGTTGCAGTTCTGGGAAAATTGTGATACCCATGCTCTTCTGGACAGAACATTGACAGTGGTGTTAAGACAAATAATTTGTTTTTTTTTTTTTACATTTTCTGTTTTTAATCAAGGTAGGATAGCCTGAAAGAAGTACATTTACCGTCCTTCAATCAGATGTTGTTTTCCCAGAAGTATGTGAATATCACAATTCAAATGATCCTCTAACTAACATCCCCACTCATCCTTCACTGTGTGGGCACTGTACTTTTCACCTCCAGAATTAAAAGTCTGACTAATCAGTTTCCCTGAATTTCTTCAATAATGTTACTTTGCTTACACTCAAACTCCCAAAGCCACTTAGTCTCCAATCATACCAATTTAATGTGTTTGCACATGAATACAGTCTTTATATGCTAAATAATGTTAAGAGGAAAATAATATTCTCAATCATAAAAAAAAACATTCTATTTCTCACTTCACTTACACTGGATAATCTGATGAAACTGATACATAGACTACAAATCTAACAAATGCGGTGTTTTGACAGGATATACTAAAAAAAAAAAACTGAGAAACAACCACAACACTCAGTGTCAAAGACTGCTATAAATAATGTCCATTTGTAACTGTTTGAATGCTGTGTTGTTAACCAGTGATTCCTAGATATGATGCAAACTAAATCAATTATGAATGACAAAAGTTTCAACGAATCCATAGTGTGTATATGAGCTGCTGGTGTAAATGATGGTAAATGTGTCAGGTTCCACCCATATACACACTATGCATTTTAGAAACAAGATGCTGTGAATAAAATTAGGCAGAAGTGAACTTTTATGACTTCATTCACTTGCAAATCAGTTTATACTTTAATACTGTGGCACATTATAAATCAGGATATGGTGGGAAGGAGTGCATGTGTATTCCAAAACTAGTGATAAAAGTTAACAGACAGAGATAACACTATGTTTACCAGTGATATCAGTAATAACTTACTGAGATTGTAAACAAAGAAATTAACTCTGGCTATTTACATTTTTCATATTATCAGAATATGTGCAACTACATGAATAAAAATGATAAAGGCAACTCAAGCAAGTTGAGAATATATTCTCACAAAAATTTGTGTTGTGACTGGTTGTCCTGAGAGACTAAGTATCTCACTAAGGCTTGTAATTCTTTAGAACTGGTAGAAAAAGAGGCTTTAGTAAAATACTCTTGCAAAATCAGAATAACTAATCCCATCACTTGAAATTGGGTAGTTGCCTTTAACATTTACATTCTTCAAGTACTGTAGTTTAAAATTTGAATCACTCCTCTTAACAAGTGAAATTAAAATGCTTCCACATGACTCGCAGAACACAAGAAAAAGGGAAGGGGAGGGGACATTGGGGGATGAGGGTCAGCGAGTCATGAAACAAGACTTTGGATACATTCACTCGCTCCTCAGGCTGAGAAGGATGATTCATGATCTAATAAATGAATACAATTTCTACAAAAATTCTAAATGGTACAGAAAAACCTGTCTGTAAATAACACGTAATAATCACCGTTACAACTTTGCTCACAAGTGATTGTCCTTTCTTTACAGCAAGAGAAGCTAAGAACTTCTACTCAGTTCATATTCTACATGTGAAATCTACAGTGTATTAAGAACATTTTGTTACAACAAAGCTAACTAGAGAAATTGTAAAAAATATTATGGTGGACCAATACCAACAAGTTCTTATGAGTTTCTGGAGTCCACAAGCTCATTCAGAGCAAACACTGACCAAACCTTACAACTATCTGATGGTTCACCACGCAATACAGAATAGTTTTATTATTATGATTATTAAAATAAAAAAATGTCATGAATAAATTCTATGCAAATTCATCATAATTTGCATCTACTTTTTAATTAAACTGAATCTGTATACAAATACAATGGTAAAAGACTATTCTGAACACTTTGTGCAATGATACAACTTCCAAACTTTTATATAAATTTTTGAACACTCTCCCAAAGTCCTTTACACAATACTTCAACTAGATCTAACAAACCATAATTCCACAAGTAAATGCATATTATTCAATCAGTAATGGTATGTCCGTGAAAACAGCTATCTTACAAGCTGCACAACATTACATCATATTTGCTGTACAGCTGCCTATACTCAAAACTAAAAGCCAGAAAGCTGCTGCAGCACCTGAGACAAATGAAAAATTGGAAAGGCCCTTCCTCACATGCACTCAAGTTTTAAACAGATAAAAGAATAATTAGAAAGGGCATACGAAATTTAGTACCGGTACTTTGAAATTTGCTGAATTATGAAGGATTTTCGACCATAAGAAACTTCACAAAATCAGTAGTTGCCCAGGATTAATTTACCATTATATTTTATCAAGTTTCAATGAGTGCTAATAACCTGTTTCCCCACAGAGGCTTCTTTTACACAAAAATCTAACTCCTTTTTCTCTGTTTAGATTATGTATATTGTATAAATTTGGGTATCTATCCTGCAGGTTAGATATTAAAAGTATGCTTGAATTACTCTGAATTAATGGGCAGCCAATGGTCGAATGCATTCGTATGATTATGGGTCATTTTATTTATTTTACTGTATGTATAACTGAAGAAATTAAATTTTGACTGATGGCTTACAAATCAGTATCATACCAAGCTGCCATCTGATTGTTGTCACGAGGAGGTTGTGGTGGCATTTGCTGATCAAATGTTAAGTCCGGATGGCCAGGATGACCTGGAGGTAGATCCCTGGGGTCTATAGGACCATAATTTGATCCTGGACCCCCATGCTGAGAACCAATATTCAAACCTTGCATCGAGTCCACAGGTACATGGTCGTAACCTCCTGAAAATGCAAATTCAGGCAATTAGCTATAGTCTGGAATAAACACAGGCTACACCTTCCCATAACATACAATAGGCTCACATAAAACAACTGTTGCTCATAGTTGGGTATAAGTAAATAAAATGAGAAATGATAGATAATGAATAGCTATTAAGAAACTGACACTGGTTGAAAAGCTATTCCATTTTATAGTAGTATTCAAAACATTAGGTCTCAAGATAAACTGCAAAAGCAGAAACATCAAATATACATACTTGCTCCAGTAATCATACCATGAACACAGGAAAACAAGTGAGAATCCTTCTCTTATTAGCCCTGTGTGTCATACAAGGTAGATGAAATACCAGAAGAAAGGCAAAGTAGTCCAAAAACAAATGTGTTAATTTCATTGTCCTTTTTTGGGGGGAGAAGGGGGGAAGGTATTCTTTAGCATTCATCAAGCCTAGATGGATTACTTTTATAGGCCAACCTTGAAAATTTCCAGGGAATTATCACAGCACATAAAATAAATCACATTACCTCAAGATAAAAGTACTCATCGTCTGAGAACAAATTACACACACTAACTCCTGCCTGGGCTGGATGAGGCAGCAAAATAGGAAGTAGTCTAGTTCCAAACCTCAGAGAGGATTTTTCACCATAAGTTATCCTCTTGTTCAGGACCACCGTGCCATTCACCATGGGATTAAGTGCTTGAAAATTTTACACAACAAAGCCAATAGCGCTGATACAAGAAATTATAAAAAAAATTAAGGTATGTGTAAACTGTGCATAAAAAAATGTTGCCTGTAACAAAAGGGGAAATCTCCCCACTATTTGTGCCAGAAAGTAGCAACCCTCTCAGAGAAGAGGCCTAGGCACAATCCACTTAAACCCCACCATAACACAGAAGTGGCCTAGCACTGGGCATGGAGATGCACCAAGGAAAACCAGGTTGGTGATCTACCCCTACAGGATTCCAAAGAGATGAATCAGATGAAGGTAGAGAGAGAATCACTGAATTATTGCTCAGCTGATGGAGTCTTAATTAATCTTAAAGTGGAAAGACAGAAAAATAGTCACTATGCTATCTTTTTCTGAGACTGAACCCATTGCCAATGTCCTCAAGTATGATGACACTACTAAGAACAGGTTTCCTGCCCCAAATTCATCAAAATTTACAACTCTAATATGGGTGGTATTGACAAAAGTTGCTCAGTTATCTTTACAAGACTCCCTTGAGGACTAGAAGATAGTATGTTTGGCTCTTTGGCTGTGTATGACCTGTGACTAACTCTTGGCTTCTGTACAAAAGGGACTGAAAATCTCTCCAGACTGATCACATGTTACTCAATGAACTCAAAATGAATATATCCCTATGTGCAAGAACACACAAGCCACTCAGGTCATCCAGATTCTTATTGGAAAACCCTCTGTTTTATTCTTTTACCAAAGCTAAACGAAACGTGCAGAAAGGTTTCATTGACTCCAAATACCATTAGGCACAACAGTTCATTATTCCATGTTCCAATCTTTACAAAGGACAAGCAGACCTCTAAATTCTGGTCCACAGCTGAAGACACACATGGTTCATATGTCTTTGATGTCTCCAAGATAGCTCTTTCCCTATCAGACAAGAAATTACTCTATCCCATTCCACCAAGAAGAGTAATGAATAATTGTATGATATATTCTTAATATGTAACAATTGTATTCCCATGGCAAAAAAAATTTTTTTTTGTACTCTTATGTCAATATTAACTGCATTTTGGGCATTAAGTTACATTCAACAATTAAGTCTTATTTATCTAAACAAAGTTTATTACTAAAATAACTGCATGTAGCTGTGTATATTAATAGTTTTACTATTCTTTCTTCATGAGAGCACTCTATAAGCATGAAAGCTAAGATTTATTACCTCTATCATTTAGCTGTAGGGCTAAATGTGGTTTTCCCGATTAAAGATCTCTATCCCATATGGGCTATACCAAAAACAAACTGAAAAATTTTCAAGAACAAAAATGTCTTGGTAAGGCCTAAAAAATAAAAAGATATTTCAAAATCCCTGTTAAATGGTTAATTGCAGGGAATATCTATTAACTACCTGGTCATGGAGTGGGCCACAGGGGCGTTGACCCATGTAACACCCTCCAGGTATACTTGTTGATTTTTTTCAGGAGACACTAATACCAAAGCCCAGTTCTGAACCAGTGATCAGGAATTCTTTTTCCAGGACTGGGCTGTGAGGTAGTGACCCACAAAACCATGAACAGGTTATAAAAACAAGCAGTGTTCACCCATATTAATAACCAAGATGAAGGGAAATTAACATACTTTCTCCTTTTGGCTTCCCCTCCTTGGAGGGTAATGTTTAATGAATATAAAACAAACATTATTAACCCTTAAACTGTCTACACATAGATTTACATTCATGTGCATTGCGCTCCAAACGTAGATAGACTTTTTTTTTTTTTTACATGCTTTCAAATGTAAAAAAAATAAGGTTGAAGCGCTACACACGTGAACGTAGATCTAAGTTTGGACAGTTTAAGGGTTAATAAGGTACAGAAATAATTGGACTGTAATTACATTTCAGTACAGCATTTCAAAATCTGTGTATCAGTACACAGTGTAAGTAATGCATTTTTTACACAAGGTGCCATGTGTGTTTTACAGTCACTAACATAGAAAAATAGATGTACAATATTCATAATTAAAAGACCTAAAGGTCATAAAGACAAAAACATCCCAAAAATACAGTAATCAATGTTCAACTGTGTCCTTCTTGCTCTATTGGGTATATTTATGTGCTTGTTCTACTGATGACAGCATAGCAAAACAATATACTTTTTTGTTCTATTCTTTATAATCCTCCCTCCTTTTTACCATATTAACTATAGTTTAAGGAAATTCACAAGCAACTTTACCTTGGTAGTTAGGCCCAGCATGGCCACTGTGAACACTTGGTGGCCCCTGAGCATACATGGGATCATAATGACCTTCAGGAGGAGCTATAAAATCTTGAAGGTCCGGGGGCATAGCAGCCATGTCTCCTTGCCACATGGAACCATCCTCACGAAACAGGGAATTAGTAAGCTCCATACTCAGCCGCTTTTTGTAATCTTGAGGTTTATCCTCTGACATGCGAAACAGCACAGCTGCTGCATATGTGGCTGCAACAGCAAAAATACATATACTGTATTATTAATATTTAACAATTTCATTTTGTGCTCTCCTGACTTGATTAAAAAGGATAAAATGGGATGTGCAAGTTTTTTTTTTTTTAACAAACAGCCATCTTCCACTAAGGCTGGGTGACCCTAAAAATGAAACATTAGCCATCACTCGTTCAAACAGCTGTCTGACCACGAGTGAGGTCATTACAATTCAAATAACTTTAAAGACTGCAGGCACTGTACCTCCCACTCTATGACTCAAGCCCAGTTAACCAATTTCAGTGAATTTCTTCACAAATGTTAACTTACTGACAATCCAACAGCACATCAAAAACAATGTCTCCATTTTTTTGCTCTAACATGGTCACACAAGCCTGCTGGATGCTCAAGCTACTAGCACTCAAAACCCCCTTAATCCCCCCTCCAACCCTTCCTGTGACAACCTCTATTCCTCTTTCCCTCCATCCCAGAATTATACACCCTCTTGGTCATCCAATCCCACTCTCATCCACTATAAATGCACAAACCACCTCAATAACACCTCTTAAGTCCTCTGAAATATACCTTTGGCAACCCCCACCTCATTCTCTAGTTTCACTGCTTCAAATTCTCTGCATAATATTCACCCCACACAGTGCTCTCAAGCATTACATATCAACTGTCTCCAGCCTCCTCCTTGCTGTAGCATTTATAGCATGCTTTACATCCATAAAAGTGTTAGTACCACTATGCTCTAATGCACTTCCCTTTTTGCCTTCATGAATAATATTTTTTTTAAAAGATGCTGCAACACATCACCTACCTCCCCCGACCTCATCTTTCATAGATCCATCTGCCAACATGTCCACTCCCAAATATCTGAATACATTCACTTCCTCCCAATTCCCTCCCTCCATCTGATATCCATTTTTTCACTGCCTCAATTTTTTTTTACTCTCATCACTTTGCTCTTTTCTATATTAAATTTTAATTTCCTTCCTTTACATATCCTCCAAAATTCCTCTACCAGCTTTTACAATTTTATATATTAGTACCAACAATTACCAGATTATTTTAAAAATAACTACAGGAAAACCACGTATGCTCCTGCTTGATCTTTCATAACCTGTTTTCCTCGTATCCTCTACAACTGTTAATTTCTTGTATTTAATTTTTATTTTTTTTTTTTTTTTTTGAGAATGAAGAGGAAATTATTATAAAAAGTGAGACACTCCTGTTACTATCAGTAAGCTGTCCACAGTTTGACTTTAGCATACCTACATTTTCCTGAATCACTATCCCATACATTGGAAAGAAAACTTGTATATATCTCTTAGCCAAGAAGTGTGTTGGATTCCTATTCATAAACTTGGGTAATTTTTATTTAGTCCAATATTTCTTTAATGAATATATGCCTCATGGGCAGATTTTACAATACTCTGGGAAAAGTAGTTACAAGCAACAATATTTATTACAGTTTGTCAGATCTGCTTCATGATTACTCCTAGTTAGATGAGTCCAACACTAGATGAGTGGTCCCTTAACCCTTTCACTGTTCAGACCCCCAAAATTAAGTACTCACAGTTCCCACAACAAAAAAAGACTGAAATGGTAATGACAACAAAAATACAAAATTTGACAGAAAAAAATAAATTAACCCTTTGAGGGTCCAGACCCCAAATCTAAAATTCCCCACAGGGAACAAGAATTTAAAAAATAAAAAAAATCTTATGAAATGGTAGAGAATCTTTTTCTGAAAGTAATCAAGCAAAAAGTATGAAATTTGATATAAAATTGACGAAATTATGCTCGCGCAAATTTTGCTGTGTCAGTGATAATTACACATTGGCAATTTTGCCCAATTTGAGTCCTTTTTCAACCAATTACACTGTTCCATTAAAAAATTTCTTAGCTATTTCGCTAGTATGTGTTCCATTTTATCTAATGAACATGTAAATCACACAAATTATTTCTAAGTAACTTCTTTCCATGCCGAGTGGTATTTGTGACTGTTGCTGGCTGTTGCTTATAACTCAGTACTGCAGTCTTGCAACAGAAGTACTGGAGTTTGCAAAGCGTATCTCTCCTTTCTCTATCCTCCTCTGTTTTTAAATCACTTCATTTTTTCTCATCAGTATATCTTTTGAACTGCCTTGATATTTTCTAAATATTTTACTAAACTATCCAGATAATTCTTACTACTGCCCACTACATTACAGCCTATTCCCTCACCATTTTTTAATACTCCACACTCATACCATTAATTTTCATCAGTTTAAAGCCAAATACAATCTAGCAACAGCCCCTGAAAAATGCACCTCTTTCATTCACCCAATGTCATGTATGCCATAGTAACTAGCCCAACTGTCAAAGGTACATTAAACTTAAAGTGCCAACACATTGTCTTGTATTAAGTATAGTATAGAATTGAATAAAAAAATAGTGATGACAGATGCCACTCACCAACACCCTCATTGCGTGAATGCAGTAACTCAGTGAGAGGAGCTGTAGCGCCTTCTTGTTCAATCATTTCTGCTCCCTCTTTATCTGCCGCCAGCTCGCAGAGCACACCTGCTGCCACACGCTCAATGTTCTCAATGTCGTTGTACAGCAACTGAGAAAATATAAAATACAATTAACCACAACAGATGTACCCTCTATGTAGGCAAAAAATGAAATTACTGTATTTTAGGTAATGGAGAACAAAATTTTAAAATAAATTTCAATCTTTTCCATAACATACCCACATATTCCCTACATGTATTTCCTTCGTATTTCTTTCAAAACTGCGCAACCCATCATGTCTAAGTTATTCTTCTCAACAAGTCGCGCCGTCTCCCACAGAGGCAGGGTGACCCAAAAAGAAAATAATTTCATCATTCAACACTTTCACCTCACTCACACATAATCACTGTCTTTGCAGAGGCACCCAGATACAACAGTTTAGAAGCATATATAAAGATATATAACATATCCCTCCAAACTGCCAATATCCCACACCCCTCCTTGAAAGTACTTCCCATTTCCAGTACTCAAGTCTGGCTATATAAAAATAACTGGTGTCCCTGGATCCCTTCACTAAATATTACCCTGCTCACACTCCAACAGCATGTCATGTCCCAAAAACCATTCGTCTCCATTCACTCCTATCCAACACACTCACACATGCTTGCTAGAAGTCCAAGCCCCTCGCCCACAAAACCTCCTTTACCCCCTCTCTCCAACCTTTTCGACGATGACCCCTACCGCGCCTTCCTTCCCCTACAGATTTACAAGCTCTCCAAGTCATTCTACTTTGATCCATTCTCTCTAAATGACCAAACCACCTCAACAAACCCTCTTTAGCCCTCTAATACTTTTAGTAACTCCACACCTCCTAATTTCCACACTCTGAATTCTCTGCATAATAGTTACACCACACATCGCCCTTAGACAGGACATCTCCACTGCCTCCAGCCTCCTCGCTGCAGCATTTACAACCCAAGCTTCACACCCGTACAAGAGTGTTGGTACCACTATACTTTCATACATTCCCTTCTTTGCCTCCATGGATACCATTTTTTGTCTCCACAAATACCTCAATGCACCACTAACCTTTTTTCCTTCATCAATTCTATGATTAACCTCATCCTTCATAAACCCATCTGCTGAAACGTCAACCACCCTGCCTCGGTGGGAGACGGCCGACTTGTTGAAAAAAAAAAAATTTACTTCTTCCATACTCCCTCTCTCCAATGTAATATCCAGTTTTTCTTTATCTAAATCGTTTGATACCCTCATCACCTTACTCTTATCTACGTTCACTTTCAACTTTCTACCTTTACAGACCCTCCCAAACTCGTCCACTAATCTTTGCAATTTTTCTTTAGAATCTCCCATAAGCACAGTATCATCAGCAAAAAGTAACTGCGTCAACTCTCATTTTGTACTTGATTCCCCATAATTTAATCCCATCCCTCTCCCCAACACCCCAGCATTTACTTCTTTCACAACCACATCTATAAATATATTAAACAACCATGGTGACATTACACACCCCTGTCTAAGACCGACTTTTACTGAGAAGTAATCTCCCTCTCTCCTACACACCCTAACCTTAGCCTCACTATCCTTGTAAAAACTCTTTACAGCATTTAGTAAGTTACTACCTATTTCATACACTTGTAACATCTGCCACATTGCTCCCCTGTCCTCTATCATATGCCTTTTCTAAATCCATAAATGCAATAAAAACTTCCCTACCTTTATCTAAATACTGTTCACATATATGCTTTCGTGTAAACACTTGATCTACACACCCCCTACCCACTCTAAAGCCTCCTTGCTCATCTGCAATCCTACTCTCTGTCTTACCTCTAATTCTTTCAATAATAACCCTACCGTACACTTTTCCTAGTATACTCAGTAAACTTATTCCTCTATAATTTCTACAATCTCTTTTGTCCCCCTTCCATTTATATAAAGGAACTATACACGCTCTCTGCCAATCCCTAGGTACCATCTCCTCATTCATACATTTTTTTTTTTTTCAACAAGTCGGCCGTCTCCCACCGAGGCAGGGTGACCCAAAAAAGAAAGAAAATCCCCAAAAAGAAAATACTTTCATCATCACTCAACACTTTCACCACACTCGCACATTATCACTGTTTTTGCAGAGGTGCTCAGAATACACAGTTTAGAAGCATACACATATAAAGATACACAACATATCCCTCCAAACTGCCAATATCCCAAACCCCTCCTTTAAAGTGCAGGCATTGTACTTCCCATTTCCAGGACTCAAGTCCGGCTATATGAAAATAACCGGTTTCCCTGAATCCCTTCACTAAATATTACCCTGCTCACACTCCAACAGATTCGTCTCCATTCACTCCTATCTAACACGCTCACGCATGCTTGCTGGAAGTCCAAGCCCCTTGCCCACAAAACCTCCTTTACCCCCTCTCTCCAACCCTTTCGAGGACAACCCCTACCCCGCCTTCCTTCCCTTATAGATTTATATGCTTTCCATGTCATTCTACTTTGATCCATTCTCTCTAAATGACCAAACCACCTCAACAACCCCTCTTCAGCCCTCTGACTAATACTTTTATTAACTCCACACCTTCTCCTAATTTTCACATTCTGAATTTTCTGCATAATATTTACACCACACATTGCTCTTTGGCAGGACATCTCCACTGCCTCCAACCGCCTCCTTGCTGCAGCAATTACAACCCACGCTTCACACCCATATAAGAGTGTTAGTACTACTATACTTTCATACATTCCCTTCTTTGCTTATTTATCCTCTTTTTCATAAAATATGTATTACTTATTACCAAACCTCTTACTACACATTTTTTTTCTTTTATCACACTGGCCGATTCCCACCAAGGCAGGGTGGCCCGAAAAAGAAAAACTTTCACCATCATTCACTCCATCACTGTCTTGCCAGAAGGGTGCTTTACACTACAGTTTTTAAACTGCAACATTAACACCCCTCCTTCAGAGTGCAGGCACTGTACTTCCCATCTCCAGGACTCAAGTCCGGCCTGCCGGTTTCCCTGAACCCCTTCATAAATGTTACTTTGCTCACACTCCAACAGCACGTCAAGTATTAAAAACCATTTGTCTCCATTCACTCCTATCAAACACGCTCACGCATGCCTGCTGGAAGTCCAAGCCCCTCGCACACAAAACCTCCTTTACCCCCTCCCTCCAACCTTTCCTAGGCCGACCCCTACCCCGCCTTCCTTCCACTACAGACTGATACACTCTTGAAGTCACTCTGTTTTTCTCCATTCTCTCTACATGTCCGAACCACCTCAACAGCCCTTCCTCAGCCCTCTGGACAATTGTTTTGGCAATCCCGCACCTCCTCCTAACTTCCAAACTACGAATTCTCTGCATTATATTCACACCACACATTGCCCTCAGACATGACATCTCCACTGCCTCCAACCTTCTCCTCGCTGCAACATTCATCACCAATGCTTCACACCCATACAGGAGTGTTGGTAAAACTCTACTCTCATACATTCCCCTCTTTGCTTCCAAGGACACAGTTCTTTGTCTCCACAGACTCCTAAGTGCAGCGCTCACCCTTTTCCTCTCATCAATTCTATGATTCACCTCATCTTTCATAGACCCATCCGCTGACACGTCCACTCCCAAATATCTGAATACATTCACCTCCTCCATACTCTCTCCCTCCAATCTGATATCCAATCTTTCATCACCTAATCTTTTTGTTATCCTCATAACCTTACTCTTTCCTGTATTCACTTTTAATTTTCTTCTTTTGCACACCCTACCAAATTCATCCACCAATCTCTGCAACTTCTCTTCAGAATCTCCCAAGAGCATAGTGTCATCAGCAAAGAGCAACTGTGACAACTCCCACTTTATGTGTGATTCTTTATCTTTTAACTCCACACCTCTTGCCAAGACCCTCGCATTTACTTCTCTTACAACCCCATCTATAAATATATTAAACAACCACGATGACATCACACATCCTTGTCTAAGGCCTACTTTTACTGGGAAATAATTTCCCTCTTTCCTACATACTCTAACTTGAGCCTCACTATCCTCATAAAATCTCTTCCCTGCTTTCAGTAACCTACCTCCTACACCATACACCTGCAACATCTGCCACATTGCGTCCCTATCCACCCTGTCATACGCCTTTTCCAAATCCATAAATGCCACAAAGACCTCTTTAGCCTTATCTAAATACTGTTCACTTATATGTAGTAGTAGGTTGGTAGACAGCAACCACCCAGGGAAGTACTACCGTCCTGCCAGATGACTGTGAAACAAAAACCTTAAATTTTTTGCATGATGGTGGATTGCTGGTTTTTTTTTCTTTTCATAAACACGTAAGTAACGGATATCTTGCTACTCCCACTAACCTTTGGTCACCTTTACAAAAACCACATGCATATATATATTACATACATTAGGTTTTTCCCCTTTTTCTAAATAGCTCTTGTTCTTTTTTATTTCTTCTATTGCCCATGGGAAGTGGAAAAGAATCTTTCCTCCGTAACCCATGCGTGTCGTATGAGGCGACTAAAATGCCGGGAGCAATGGGCTAGTAACCCCTTCTCCTGTATACAATTACTAAAAAAGAGAAGAAGAAAAACTTTATAAAACTGGGTTGCTTAAATGTGCGTGGATGTAGTGCGGATGACAAGAAACAGATGATTGCTGATGTTATGAATGAAAAGAAGTTGGATGTCCTGGCCCTAAGCGAAACAAAGCTGAAGGGGGTAGGAGAGTTTCAGTGGGGGAAATAAATGGGATTAAAATCTGGAGTATCTGAGAGAGTTAGAGCAAAGGAAGGTGGTAGCAGTAATGTTAAATGATCAGTTATGGAAGGAGAAAAGAGAATATGAATGTGTAAATTCAAGAATTATGTGGATTAAAGTAAAGGTTGGATGCGAGAAGTGGGTCATAATAAGCGTGTATGCACCTGGAAGAGAGAGGAATGCAGAGGAGAGAGAGAGATTTTGGGAGATGTTAAGTGAATGTATAGGAGCCTTTGAAACCAAGTGAGAGAGTAATTGTGGTAGGGGACTTGAATGCTAAAGTAGGAGAAACTTTTAGAGAGGGTGTGGTAGGTAAGTTTGGGGTGCCAGGTGTAAATTGATAATGGGAGCCCTTTGATTGAACTTTGTATAGAAAGGGGTTTAGTTATAGGTAATACATATTTTAAGAAAAAGAGGATAAATAAGTATACACGATATGATGTAGGGCGAAATGACAGTAGTTTGTTGGATTATGTATTGGTAGATAAAAGACTGTTGAGTAGACTTCAGGATGTACATGTTTATAAGAGGGGCCACAGATATATCAGATCACTTTCTAGTTGTAGCTACACTGAGAGTAAAAGGTAGATGGGATACAAGGAGAATAGAAGCATCAGGGAAGAGAGAGGTGAAGGTTTATAAACTAAAAGAGGAGGCAGTTAGGGTAAGATATAACAGCTATGGAGGATAGATGGGCTAATGAGAGCATAGGCAATGGGGTCGAAGAGGTATGGGGTAGGTTTAAAAATGTAGTGTTAGAGTGTTCAGCAGAAGTTTGTGGTTACAGGAAAGTGGGTGCAGGAGGGAAGAGGAGCGATTGGTGGAATGATGATGTAAAGAGAGTAGTAAGGGAGAAAAAGTTAGCATATGAGAAGTTTTTACAAAGTAGAAGTGATGCAAGGAGGGAAGAGTATATGGAGAAAAAGAGAGAGGTTAAGAGAGTGGTGAAGCAATGTAAAAAGAGAGCAAATGAGAGAGTGGGTGAGATGTTATCAACAAATTTTGTTGAAAATAAGAAAAAGTTTTGGAGTGAGATTAACAAGTTAAGAAAGCCTAGAGAACAAATGGATTTGTCAGTTAAAAATAGGAGAGGAGAGTTATTTAAATGGAGAGTTAGAGGTATTGGGAAGATGGAAGGAATATTTTGAGGAATTGTTAAATGTTGATGAAGATAGGGAAGCTGTGATTTCGTGTATAGGGCAAGGAGGAATAACATCTTGTAGGAGTGAGGAAGAGCCAGTTGTGAGTGTGGGGGAAGTTCGTGAGGCAGTAGGTAAAATGAAAGGGGGTAAGGCAGCCGGGTTTGAGGGGATAAAGATAGAAATGTTAAAAGCAGGTGGGGATATAGTTTTGGAGTGGTTGGTGCAATTGTTTAATAAATGTATGGAAGAGGGTAAGGTACCTAGGGATTGGCAGAGAGCATGCATAGTTCCTTTGTATAAAGGCAAAGGGGATAAAAGAGAGTGCAAAAATTAAGGGGATAATTTCTTTTGAGTGTACCTGGTAAAGTGTATGGTAGAGTTATAATTGAAAGAATTAAGAGTAAGACGGAGATAGGATAGCAGATGAACAAGGAGGCTTTAGGAAAGGTGGGGGGTGTGTGGACCAGGTGTTACAGTGAAACATATAAGTGAACAGTATTTAGATAAGGCTAAAGAGGTCTTTGTGGCATTTAGGGATTTGGAAAAGGCGTATGACAGGGTGGATAGGGGGGCAATGTGGCAGATGTTGCAAGTGTATGGTGTAGGAGGTAGGTTACTGAAAAACAGTGAAGAGTTTTTACGAGGATAGTGAGGGTCAAGTTAGAGTTTTGTAGGAAAGAGGGAAATTTTTTCCCAGTAAAAGTAGGCCTTAGACAAGGATGTGTGATGTCACCGTGGTTGTTTAATATATTTATAGATGGGGGTTTTAAGAGAAGTAAAAAGCGAGGGTCTTGGCAAAGGCGTGGAGTTAAAAGAAAAGAATCACACACAAAGTGGGAGTTGTCACAGCTGCTCTTTGCTGATGACACTGTGCTCTTGGGAGATTCTGAGAGAAGTGCAGAGATGGTGGATGAATTTGGTATGGTGTGCAAAAGAAGAAAATTAAAGGTGAATACAGGAAAGAGTAAGGTTATGAGGAAAAACAAAAAGAAATTTGGTGAAAGAAAGATTGAATATCAGATTGGAGGGAAGAGTATGGAGGAGGTGAACGTATTCAGATATTTGGGAGTGGACGTGTCAGCGGATGGGTCTATGAAAGATGAGGTGAATCATAGAATTGATGAGGGAAAAAGAGTGAGTGGTGCACTTAGGAGTCTGTGGAGACAAAGAACTTTGTCCTTGGAGGCAAAGAGGGGAATGTATGAGAGTATAGTTTTACCAACGCTCTTATATGGGTGTGAAGCGTGGGTGATGAATTTTTGCAGCGAGGAAGGCTGGAGGCATGGGATGTCATGTCTGAGGGCAATGTGTGGGTGAATATAATGCAGAGAATTCGTAGTTTGGAAGTTAGGAGGAGGTGCGGGATTACCAAAACTGTTGTCCAGAGGGCTGAGGAAGGGTTGTTGAGGGGGTTCGGACATGTAGAGAGAATTGGAGCGAAACAGAATGACTTCAAGAGGGGATCAGTCTGTAGGGGAAAGGGAAAGGCGGGGTGGGGGTCGGCCTGGGAAAGGGGGTTGGAGGGAGGGGGGTAAAGGAGGTTTTTGTGTGCGAGGGGCTTGGACTTCCAGCAGGCATGCTTGAGCGTGTTGTAGGAGTGAAGGGGAGACAAATGGTTTTTAAAACTTGACGTGCTGTTGGAGTGTGAGCAAAGTAACATTTATGAAGGGATTCAGGGAAACCGGCAGGCCGGACTTGAGTCCTGGAGATGGGAAGTACAGTGCCTGCACTCTGAAGGAGGGGTGTTTAAAGTTGCAGTTTAAAAACTGTAGTGTAAAGCACCCTTCTGGCAAGACAGTGTGGAGTGAATGATGGTGAAAATTTTTCTTTTTCGGGCCACCCTGCCTTGGTGGGAATCGGCCGGTGTGATAATAAATAATTAAAAAAAAATTTTTAGTTTTCACTGAACACCTGGTCCACACATCCCCCACCTTTCCTAAAGCCCCTTGTTCATCTGCTATCCTATTCTCAGTCTTACTTTTAATTCTTTCTAATAAATCTAACCATACACTTTACCAGGTATACTCAAAAGACTTACCCCCTATAATTTTTGCACTCTCTTTTGTCCCCTTTGCCTTTATACAAAGGAAAACTATGCCCTGCTCTCTGCCAATCCAGGTAAACCCTTTCCCTCTTCCATACATTTATTAAATAAATTGCACCAACCACTCCAAAACTAATCCCCACCTGCTTTTTTTAAAATTTCTATCTTTATCCCATCAATCCCAGCTGCCTTACCCACTTTCATTTTACGTACTGCCTCACAAAACTTCCCCCCCCACTCACAACTGGCTCTTCCTCACTCCTACAAGATGTTATTCCTCCTTGCCCTATACACGAAATCACAGCTTCCCTATCTTCATCGACATTTAACAATTCCTCAAAATATTCCCTCCATCTTCCCAATACCTCTAACTCTCCATTTAATAAACTCTCCTCTCCTATTTTTAACTGACAAATCCATTTGTTCTCTAGGCTTCCTTAACTTGTTAATCTCACTCCAAAACTTTTTCTTATTTTCAGCAAAATTTGTTGATAACATTTCACCCACTCTCTCATTTGCTCTCTTTTTACATTGCTTCACCACTCTCTTAACCTCTCTCTTTTTCTCCATATACTCTTCCCTCCTTGCATCACTTCTACTTTGTAAAAACTTCTCATATGCTATCTTTTTCTCCCTTACTACTCTCTTTACGTCATCATTCCACCAATCGCTCCTCTTCCCTCCCGCACCCACTTTCCTGTAACCACAAACTTCTGCTGAACACTAACACTACATTTTTAAACCTACCCCTACCTCTTCGATCCCATTTCCTATGCTCTCATTAGCCCATCTATCCTCCAATAGCTGTTTATATCTTACCCTAACTGCCTCCTCTTTTAGTTTATAAACCTTCACCTCTCTCTTCCCTGATGCTTCTATTCTCCTTGTATCCCATCTACCTTTTACTCTCAGTGTAGCTACAACTAGAAAGTGATCTGATATATCTGTGGCCCCTCTATAAACATGTACATCCTGAGGTAACTCAGGTAAAGGCTACCCATTTTCTTTTACCCCTGGCACCCCAAATTTACCTACTACTCCCTCCACAACATTTTTACCCACTTTAGCATTGAGATCCCCAACCACAAGCACTCTCACTTGGTTCAAAACTCTCCACACTCACTCAACATTTCCCAAAATCTCTCTCTCTCCTTTACACTTCAATCTTCTCCAGATGCATAAACACTTACTACAACCCACTTTTCACATCCAACCCTTATTTTACACCACATAATTCATATTCCCTCTTTTCCTGCCATAACTTATCCTTCAACATTACTGCTACTCCTTCTTTAGCTCTAACTCTATTTGAAACCCCTGACCTAATCCTATTTATTTCTCCCCACTGAAACTCTCCCACCCCCTTCAGCTTTGGTTCACTTGAAGCCAGGACATCCAGCTTCTTCTCATTCATAACATCCACAATCATCTCTTTCTTATCATTCGCACAACATCCACGCACATTCAAACATCCCACTTTGACGATTTTCTTCTTTTTCTTTTTAGTAAACTATACGGGAAAAGGGGTTACTAGCCCATTGTTCCCGGCATTTTAGTTGACTTTTACAACACACATGGCTTACGAAGGAAAGATTCTTGTTCCACTTCCCCATGGATATGAAATGAAAAGCACTAAGAACAAGAACTATTAAGATAAAATCAAAGAAAACTCAGATGAGTGTGTATACATGAATGTGTACATGTATGTGTGGTGTGACCTTAGTGTAAGTAGAAGTGGCAAGATGTACCTCAAATCTTGCTTGTTTATGAGAGAAAAAAGACACCAGCAATCCTACCATCGTGTAAAACAAATACAGGCTTCCTTTTTACACTCACCTGGCAGGACGGTAGTACCTCCCCGAATGGTTGCTGTCTACCAACCTACATTAGTTCTATAGTTCTAACTCACTAAAATCTCTCCTAATCATAAAATTTAACAAGCATAGCTTTCATCAACATTTTTTTTATAACCATGTTGCAAACACTAAGAAAGTACTTAATAAACTTGCCAAACATAGTAAAATTAGGACGAGCTCACCTGAACAAAGATGGGAATAACGTTGAGTCCTCTAATAATGGCACGGTTGTGTGACTCACGTGCTAGTATGTGTAAGGCACCAACTGTCCCCTCCACAATTTCCTCCATACGTACGCCATCTGCATAGGCTCCAATACTTCCAGAGCCACCACTGGCCACAGATGACCGTTGCTACCAAAAATAAAAACACACAAATTAAATACTATTACTTACACTATGTAAAAGTACTGTATTTTCAAAAATTAATATTTGTAAGGGGCACATTCAGAAATATTTATTAACAGTTGAACACCATGTTTCCCTGGGAAATTAATTTTAACATTTAGGGAATTTCCCACCAAGTCAGGGTGACTCAAAGAAGGAAAATATATTCACCATCATTTATTCCTTAAGTGTCTTTCCAGAAGAGCACTGGCATCACAGTTACAATGATCCACAAAAAAAAAAAAAATGCCTATATATCCTTTAATACAGGATGCTTCCTCCATAAGCCATGAGTGTCGTAAGAGCTGGGAACAAGGGGCTGGTAACCCCTTCTCCTGTATATCTTTCTTTCAACAAAACGGATGTATCCCACCCTGGTGGGTGGCCCAAAATGAAAAACAAGTTTCTCTTTCTAAATTTAGTAATTTATACAGGAGATGGGGTTACTAGCCCCTTGTTCCTGCATTTTAATCCTCTCTTACGACACACATGGCTTATGGAGGAAGAATTCTGTTCCACATCCTCATGGAATTTTCCTGTATATTTTTTTTTTTCAACAAGTCAGCCATCTCCTACCAAGGCAGGGTGACCCAAAAAGAAAGAAAATCCCCAAAAAGAAAATACTTTCATCATCATTCAACACTTTCACCTCACTCATACATAATCACTGTCTTTGCAGAGGTGCCCAGATACAACAGTTTAGAAGCATATGTAAAGATATATAACACACCTCTCCAAACTGCCAATATCTTACACCCTTCTTTTAAAGTACAGGCATTGTACTTCCCATTCCCAGTACTCAAGTCTATGTAAAAAATAACCGGTTTCCCTGAATCCCTTCACTAAATATTACCCTGCTCACACTCCAACAGCTCATCAGGTCCCAAAAACCACTCATTTCCATTCACTCCTAACACGCTCACACATGCTTGCTGGAAGTCCAAGCCCCTTGCCCACAAAACCTCCTATACCCTCTCTCTCCAACCTTTTCGAGGACGGCCCCTACCCCACCTTCCTTCCCCTACAGATTTATAAGCTCTCCGAGTCATCCTACTTTGATCCATTCTCTCTAAATGACCAAACCACCTCAACAAACCCTCTTCAGCCCTCTGACTAATACTTTTATTAACTCCACACCTTCTCCTAATTTCCACACTCCAAATTTTCTGCATAATATTTACACCACACATTACCCTTAGACAGGACATCTCCACTTCCTCCAACCACCTCCTCGTTGCTACATTCACAACCCAAGCTTCACACCCATATAAGAGTGTTGGTACTACTATACTTTCATACATTCCCTTCTTTGCCTCCATAGATAACGTTTTTTGTCTCCACATATACCTCAACGCACCACTCACCTTTTTTCCCTCAGCAATTCTATGATTAACCTCATCCTTCATAAATCCATCCGCCAACACGTCAACCCCCAAGTATCTGAAAACATTCACTTCTTCCATACTCCCTCCCTCCAATGTGATATCCAATTTTTCTTTATCTAAATCATTTGATACCCTCATCACCTTACTCTTATCTATGTTCACTTTCAACTTTCTCCCTTTACACACCCTCCCAAACTCGTCCACTAACCTTTACAACCTTTCTTTAGATTCTCCCATAAGCACAGTATCATCAGCAAAAAGTAACTGTGTCAACTCCCATTTTGTATGTGATTTCCCATAATTTAATCCCACCCCTCTCCCCAACACCCTAGTATTTACTTCTTTTACAACCCCATCTACAAATATATTAAACAACCAACTGCATATACTATATTACTAAATTTAAAATGAGAAACTTTCATTTTTTGTTTTTGAGCCTCATCTGTGGGATATGGACGGTTTGTTGAAAGAAGATATCCTTTAACCCTTTCAGGGTCCACAGGCCCTCTCAAAGACTTGTTCTCAGGGTCTCCCAAATTAAAAAAAAAAAATAATTTTTTCTTATGAAAAGATAGAGATTCTTTTCCCAATCATAATGACACCAAACGTATAAAATTTGATGGAAAACTTACGGAATTATGCTCTCACGAAGTTAGCGGTCTCGACGATGTTTACGCATCAGCGATTTTGCCCACTTTGAGCCCTATTTTCGGCCAATTCCAATGTACTAGTCGACAAAAATCATAACGATTTCGCTAGAACTCCGTTTTTTTCTATCGAATGAGCACAAGAAACCACCAATTTACCGATTTCAACTATCCAATACAGTGGTCAGAATTTAGCAATTTTGCCAATTTCACACAAATTTCAAATGATGCCAGTTTCCAAATAGGGTCCAGAATAAACAAGAAAGACATTCCTGGCACTAAAATAACATTTCCTCTGTTCATTAGTCACGTCCCCACGCCCCTCTTACATTCTTTTGCTTTCCATTTTGAATTTTTATTCTCAAAAAAATAGAAGATTTACTGTTATGCAAACTACTGCATTAGTGTAGAAATGGTATAAATAATATCAGCGCACTTGTGAAAGAATATTAGACTCACCAGTTGACGTGTATTGGACGCTTAGCATGATTTGTTTACTTTTGAACTTTGGTAAAAATCGAACATTTCTGCTACTTTGAGCTCAATTTCAAGGTACTTTTCATTGTAAAACCAGTCAAAATCATCTCAATTTCTGTAATATGTCTTCTATTCTATACAATGAGACCAGGAAAACTAGAATACAGCAATAAATACCATACGAAAATACAGTGCAAAGTCGCTGTTTTAATCCAAAAACACTTTTTTTCTCATTACGCACTGTGTGCTGCAGGATTTTTTTAAAGTGCAGGATTTTTTTAATACTGCACACTCTGACCACATAGACCCATTCTTTCATATGTAGGCCTACCAGCTTTCCTCTCACTAGATTTGAAGGCGCTAGAATTTATGAGTACTAGTACGTCATGGACCCTGGTGCGTAAGCCGTACTAGTATGGCCGAAACCCTAAAATGGTTAAAGTGCAGCCACTGAAACTTTCCATCTCCAGAACACCTAATTCAGCTAAATAGTTTTTTGAACCCCCTCATAGATGTTACTTTACTCACACTCCAACAACCTGTTCAATCCTAAATACAACTTGTCCCCAATCATTATGATCTAACAAGAACCAACCTTTCAAATACTCTTCACATCCTCCCTCCAACTCTTTCTGGGATGTCTCCCACACCTACAGTGCTCATCACTGAAGTGTGCCATGTGTAAGACACCCAGCATACTTTAATGTTAAAAATAATACCCTATCCTGGTAGGTGTTTCGGTGAGACTAAAGGTTATTTTGGCCTGGCAACTTATAGGGATGATGTCTCAGGATTTTTTAAGACTAATGACATTAGTGTTCAATAAGGAACTTGTTGCACCAGTTCCATGATAGCAGCAATGACATGCCCACACCAAGAGCATGTCCAGGGAAGCCTAGACAAATGCCCCTATGTACGTTAACTGTAATACGTTATTACAGATAATGTACATAGGATGTTTGTCTAGGCTTCCCTGGACATGTTCATGGTGTGCACATGTCATCACCATCATTGTTACAGAACTAATGCACCCAGTCAATTACTGAATGCTCATACACATCGATGACTACTATTTCCTTCGTTTGATGGCCTGCCTTATGTAATCCAATGATCTGTGAAACTGTTGTATCAGCAACTTATTCTTTCCCTTATTAATTTGTTTATAGCTAAAAATGTGAAACAAGCTCAGCACTCAAGATCACACAGTGCAGGGAGACTAGAGAATGCAGCCAACAGCCTTAGAGAACCCAATGACATCGTGCTGTGTGTTTCCAGGCAAGTATTAATTTTTGTTGCACCAAAACACCCTAACATAGTTGGGTATTATTTTGACATTAATGTATGTTGGGTATCTCCACCTGACATACTTTAATTACAAGCACTGTAGTTTTACCAAAATTATATAACCATTGAACTTTACTGAAATAAAGTGATGAAAAATTAACATCAAAAAAAGTTAAGCTTTACCCTTTGAGTGTCCTGGAAAGCCCTTATGAGGAGTTGCACCAGCCTAGGAATAGCACCTGACTCCCTGAGTGGTGCATGGTTGGCTGGGCATAGTGCCAGGTTGCGGATTAATCCAATCACAGCCTTTACTAATGGCCAGCGAGATGGTGGATGGAGTAGGTTCACTATTATAGGAATGCCATTCTTCAGGCGAGCTGCATTCTGGGCAACTTCAGCTTCTGGATGCCGAGCAGTTAAATGACGCAGAGCACATACCTATGTAAAAAAAAAAAAAAATTACCATTAGTTTTAGTTATTGTACACCCTTTCATGTTACCTTAATATTGTTATACATAAAAGATTATTTCTTCCCTACATTCAACAAATGTTAAGGGGTAATATTTACATTTTTGTTAAATTATCTGGCCCTTCACCAAGTGCACATATTTTTTCATATATAAAATAATCAACAATATGAAGATCTAAATTTCACTGATGACATTAGCACAGATGACATAAGAGGTTAGAAGAGGACTCGACTATCATGTATAGAATCTAAATCAGACTGGCATGTGTTCTTATAGAAAGCTTGACACAACACCTCAACACTCAATTTACAGGCTGAAACAATGCATCTGCTACTTTAAAGATTGAATGGTTAAGACTAAAATAGACAATATTGCAAACAACAAATTCTCGATGTTTTTAACTTACCGCTGGCTCAGTAATCTCTTCTCGTTCCCCAGCATTGTAGATCGTGGCTACGAGTGCCTCGACACCACCAACCTGGCAAACTGTTATCTTGTTCCTTTGGTTGTTACATGTCAAGTTCGACAGGATGCCAGCAGCGCAAGTCACCACATTGATATCACTGGCACGCAGCAAGTGTACCAAGTTCTGAAGAAGCTGGTCCATGTTGTCCTGCAATATCAATAAATTTTAAGAAGCTATTGACAAAATAGAAATAAATTTGTAGTATATATAACCTTATGGTAAATAGAATTCAGTTTTGTATGTATAATTATGTATATCAATGTCATTCTTGCTCAATTTTTTTAAATAAAAATTTTCCAAAAAATATAAAAAATATTAGCTATTTACAATAAAGTAAATCTCTTAATTAAAACATACAACTTTAGTAGCTGCATCAGAAAGATTACGCAAAGTCCAGAGGCAGTTCTGCACTAGTCGAGTTGACTGGTGAGTTAGATGCATAGCAAGAGCCTGCATCCCCCCAGACTCTACGATGGCTGGTTTGTTGCTCGAGCACACAGACAAAACTGTTGGGAAATTTAATGCTCAACAACACTTACTTATCCTTCGCAAGCATCTTCAAAATGTTAATAATCTTACAATCTGTCTCATTCTTATCAAAAATTTAATTTTTGCCTTCTTAGCCTGTCTCACTACACTAAGAAAATTTTTCCTTCATCCTGTATTAAAATGTATATTGTATTTTTCTTAATTAACCCTTTGACTGTCGAGACCCCTCCTCACAAACTTACTCTCAGTGTCGAAGAATTTCAAAAAAAAAAAAAAAATTCTTATGAAATGATGATCTTTTCCCGATGGTAATGGCACAAAAAGTACAAAATTTGATTGAAAACTTATGGAATTACGCTCTCGCGAAGTTAGCGATCTATGCGATATTTATGCATCGGTGATTTTGCCCACTTTGAGACCTATATTCAGCCAATTCCATTGTTCCAGTCAACCAAACTCATAGCTATTTCTTTAGAACTCCATTTGTTCTATCGACTGAGTACAAGAAACCGCCCATTTACCGATTTCGACTACCCAATAAAGTGGTCAGAAATTGGCAATTTGGCCAATTTCACACAAATTAAAAAAGATGCCAATTTCAAAATAGGGTCCAGAATGAACAATGCAGACATTCCTGGCACTAGAATAACATTTTCTCTGTTCATCAGTCATGTCTCCAGGCCCCTTTTGTATTACTCGTTTTCTATTTTGAATTTTTATTCACACAAAAAATAGAAGATCTACTGTTATGCAGACTACTGCATTATTGTAATAACTGTATAATATAATGTCAACCCATTTGTGACTGCATATCAGAATGGTTAGTTGGACACTTATTAGACAATGACATCATTTGTTTACTCTTGCACATCGACAAAAATCGAACATTTCCACTACTCTGAGCTCAATTTCAAGGTCCTTTTCATTGTGAAACCAATCAAAATCATCTCTATTTCTGTAATATGTTTTCCATTCTATCAAATGAGACCAAGAAAATGAGAATGCAACCATAAATACTATACAAAAATACACCTCATAGTCAGCTTTTTAATCCAAAAACAGTCAGTTTTTTTTTCTCATTATGCACTGCGTGCTGCAGGATTTTTTTATACTGCGCACACTGACCATACAGACCCACTCTCTCACGTGTGGGCCTACCAGCTTTCTCCCGCTTGATTTGAAGCCACTAGAATTTTGGAGTATAAGTACATCAAAAATAATGGCTCGTAAAACGTATATGTACGTCAGAAACAGTCAAAGGGTTAAACATGTTAACCAAGATTTTTTCAATAGATCCAGAAAACTGGATAAAAGTTTATGGAACTCAGATGGCACTTCAAGAACCGTGGCAACAAATTAAAAAGCAAATATGAAATCTTCCAGGCTACCAACCCACATAAAAACTAACATCTTTAATTCAATTATTAAACTCTTACTTAATTTTCTAATTTATTAAAAATATACAATAAATTAATTCACTGGCCATTACTCTGTCTATATATTTATGGATAAATAAATCATGGTACAGTATATAATTATACTTATTCATCAACTTCTTTCTTAAGGATTATTTTATGTCGTAATGGCAATTAAGTCTTATGACTACCTACCAGTATGTTAGAATTATTTAGTTTTTATTATTAATGCATTATTACCATTATTATTATTATTATTATTATTATTATTATTACTGTGGTTATTATGTACTTGTACTACCATTTTACTTGCAGACAGCATAATTTGATTATATCCTATAAAAATGTAAGCATTACCTTTCAGAACTCTTGAGGTTGTCCAGAGAAGCTTTTCATATGTGTAAGAACGTAGGATGCGCACCAACTCCTGTGGTCCCTGAGAAGCTAGGATGATGAGCTTTGATTCTTGATTGCCATAAGCCAGAATCTGCAGGCAGTCAGTAACAATGGCCAAAAACTTGACATTGTTACGTTGGAGGAGAGCAACCATTTTCTGAAGCCCGCCTGCCATACGCACTGCCGTTTTTGAGCCTTCTTGGTGCAATAATAAGTTGTGCAGAGTAGTGATGGCATAAAATAGGACAGACTCCACTGGTGAGCTAGAAATAACATAGCAAGCTGGAGAGCAACAATCAAGAAGAGTCATTATATATAGACAACAAACAAAAGTACAATCCATAAATGAAGTAGGAATTACAGGGAGGGCTAGATCCATGTTTATGAGGATGCCAAGAGTTTCATTTTTTGTCACATCTTAGGTAGCAAACAGAGAGAGATGTATTTTGCTTTACCTTAGCAATTTAACCAGAGCAGGGATGCCGCCAGATTTGAAAATTGCAAGAAGACCCTGACGATGGTGGGACAAGTTGTGCAGTGCTCCAACAGTCACTCGAGTAGTCTCCAAGTCATTCGAGTTGGAGAGGGCACGAACAAGAGCTGCGACCATTTGCTGAGAGTTCATAATGGCATGGCGTGAGGCTTCCTTCTTACTGAGACGGTGCACCATCATGGCAGCCTGTGACACCACAACTTGATCCTCATCATTCAGAAGCTTAATTAACTCAGGAATGGCTCGTGTAGCTAAGTCAGCATCATCCTGTGAACAAAGTTATTAAGAATTAAACTCATTATCAGCTGAGTTAAGTAACCTATATCATGTGTTATGAAGCAGGAAGTGTTAAAAGATTACTTGGAAAGTGTTAAAAGAGATGATCAAAAAGTTACCCAACCCACATACGAGCAATGTACTGAATACTGTGTGGTGATTGTGAACAGTGATGAGATTGTTTGTCATGACAAACAACAGACAATTCTGTAACCAACAGACAATCAGTCTTTTTTTAATCAACTGACACAGCAAATTTTATCCCCCATATTGCCAAAGTCTATTAAATCAAGGGATTACTATATTTTACAGTGCATGCAGAGAAAAATTATGATCAGCAGATTTACAGTGTTGAAAATTATGAAAACCAAACATTTTTCTTTATGCTGCCATAATTCTGTATTATTGTGAGCTGCATGATTTTGCAATCACCACATACATAAAAAAAATATAGCCGCAAAATATTTTTGGTATGAATATTTGAAAATTAAAAGAGCATAAGACATTCCTAAAGATTTGTTTTATATCAAATATACAGATATATACACAATACTACAGGCAATATTTCCGAATGAACTATCTCAAATATTCTACTCTACTTCAAATATTTACTTACAAAACATTAAGTGGACACAATTCCTTACCCTGTATTATATGCAGATTATTTATTTAGCTGAAAACGTGTCAAGACATTGAAAGAAGAAACCAGGAAACAATCTAATTCAGGAAGCAAAATAACAGTTTGTTTTCACTGCCTGGTCATTTAGAAATGACTGAGAAAAAGAGAATAACAAAGTGTATAAATCTGTGATGGACAGAGTAAGGACCTTCCCAGGTGGTTTTAAACAGGACCTTGAGTATCCAGAAAGCACGTGTGAGCGAGTTAGACTGGACCGAATGCAGACAAGTGGTTTTTGGGATTTGGAGTGTTATTTGAATGTGAGAAAGGTAATATTTATATATGATTTAGGAAGCTTGGTAACCAGACTTCAATTTTGGATGAATGACCCATCCTTTACGTGGATGGGTTGGGAAGTGACAATTCAGTAGATAACATGGACTGTGATTTCTGTGTACATTTTGAAAGACTAAAGGGAAGCAGTGATATGGCATGTGTTTTCCTTGCCTGGCTATATTTGCTTTGGCAGGGAATGACAAATGTGTTAAAAAATCTAACTTGTAAAAAAAAATTTTTTACTAATGTACATCAAAACCTCTGGTGAAGAAAAAAAAAATTAAAACCTGAACATTAGTCTGATGAATGAGAAGATTTAGGTATATATTCATATAATGAAACCAATATACAGAAGACTAAATTAAGCACATTTCAGGAAAGCCTTGATGATCAGCAACAGTTATCATCATTATAAACTAACCTGATAGTTAATCAAGTTCACAACTGCATGCTTGAGCATTTGTGAGGGTTCTGCCAACCTCTGTACTGCAGTGGGTTGCTGAGGATCAAACTGGGTAGAGGGAATCTCCATACCCTCATCCAGGGTCTCGGGAAACATGGCAGCTCGGACTCGCTGGGATCGAGTCTGGTTCAGTTGTTGGTTCATGTCATCTACCTAGAAAAATAGAGAGCTTTATTGCAATTATAATTTTTAATTTAATGAAAGGTTAAAAATAAAAGACTGAAATGAGATGGCCAGTAGATGACAAAATATATAAAACTGAAACAAGTTCATAAGAGCAAAATGGTTAGGATTTGAAAAGATGCAAGCAACTATTATGTAGATAGCAAGGCACAAGTTAGGGCATATAAGAGAGAAGGAGATTACGTTTCAGTAAAAGTAGACCTTAGACAGTGATGTGTGATGTCACCATGATTGTTAAACATATTTATAGAGGGGGAATTTGTAAAAGAAGTGAATGCTAGGGTGTAAATCTAGTATGGTACGGGAGTTATCACAGTTGCTTTGGGTCAATAACATGGTTCTTTTGGATTATGAAGAGAAGTTGCAAAGGTTGGTAAATGATTCTGTGAGGATGTGTAAAAGTAGGAAATTAAAAGCGAGCACAGGAAATAGCATGAGAGTATCAAAAAATATAGGCAATGAGAGAATGGATATCAGATTGGAGGAAGGAAATATGGAGGCAGTAAACGTTTTCAAATATTTGGAAGTGGGCTTGTCAGCAGATAACAGATGCAGCATAGAAATGATGATAGGAAAAAGGTGGGTGATGCATTGAGTGACCCTAGATACAAAGAACATTATATATAGAGGAAAAAAGGGAAATTTATCAAAGTACAGTGGTGCAAACACTGTTGTATAGGTGTGAAGCATGGGTTTTGAATGTTGCAGCAAGGAGAAGGCTGGAGACAGCAGAGATATTGTGTTTGAGGGAGCTGTGTCATGTAAATATTTTGAAGAGAATTCTAAGTTTGAAGATTAGGAGGAGGTGTAGGGTTACCAAAAGTATTATTCAGAGGGTTGAGGAGGGCTGTCAATGTGGTTTGGACATTTAGAAAGGATGGACAAAAATATGAGGACTAGGATGACTTTGGGGTGGCCATAAGGAGTGGGGGTCATCCTAGGAAAGGTTGAAGGGAGGAGGGTAAAGGAGGTTTTGAGTGCTAGGGGCTTGGACATCCAACAGACTTCTGTAAATGTGCTAGACAGGAGTGGGGGCCAAGTAGTTTTTATGATTTGACATGCTGTTGGAGTGAGAGCAAGGAATCAAGGAATTCATGGAAACCAGCTAGCCAGACTTGAATCCTGAAGAGGGAGGTAGAGTGCTTGCACTCTGAAGGAAGGATGGAATTGTTGCAGTTGGAAGGGATCATCTGAACTGTGACATTGGAGTCATCCTACTGCAGTGGGAGACAGCCAGTTTTAAAAAAAAAGTTTCTGCTCTATATAAAGTCAATTATCCCACAAGATTTCACATTTTATATAGGAAATCTTTTGTTACCTGTTCTGTAGTGAATGCTGCCTGGTTGAAGCCCTGCTGTGCCTGGCCCTCCATCCACTCAGCATCCATCTCCTCCTCTTTCCCAGTGAGGGACGGAGCATTTGTGGTGGCACCAGAGTGGATGCCAGAGTCACTCATATAGTATTCTGTTGCCACATGGCAATCTGTTCTTTGGGGTTCTGCATAGGCATATCTGCAGGGTTGTGGTAACCACCCTGTGACACTGTCGGAGAAAAAGAAAATAATGTAAGAAGTCATTAATATCTAAGGCATTCACTCCTTTCCAAAAACCTGTATTTTCATAAAAACTTTTATATTAAACTCCATAAAAAAAAGTTACACTAACACTGTGGATGGCAAGAACTAGCTAAAGAATGTTAGAAATGTATTTGTCCACTTAATATATAATGCTTCAAGCCAAAGCCTGTCAACTACCTTCACTTTTCTCGCTGTAAAACTATACCTTGTAAAATTAAGAAATAGTCGCTATGCTCTAATGCTGCATCTACCTGCATACCTGTTGATTCCAGGGATATTTGCCCTTGCAGCATGATTTCAAACCTAGCCTCCTGTGGTCAGCCTGGTTAAGTTTTTGCCACTTACTTCAAGAGTTTCATCAATTATAACAAATATTTAGAGAAAATACATCATTAAGACTTACGAATTCTGGAAGACCTACAATATGTTGTGGTAGCTATGATCTGTTAAGCCTATATTACGCAAAGCATTTTAGGTAAAACTAAAGCTAAAATTGTCTTATACAGTACATGGTTTAAAAAGGTTGAAAAACAGTACAGCAGGTATGTAATAGAGAAATAAAAATAATAGCTAATGCTATAATAATAATAACAGTAAAAATAATAATAGAAATTATAAAACTTCAGTATAATATACTGTATAATAATAATAATCATAAAACAAAACATCAGTAATAACAGTAAAACCTGGTATAACAAATGCACCAGTAGAGGGCAGGGGGTGGCCATTTAAAAAAAATTCTGGTATCAAAATGCCCAATGCAACAAACATGGTCCATTGTATGGAGAGCTTATCAAACACACAAACATGATACAGGTCGGCCATCACTAATCTGGCATCACTGGGACATGTAGTGTGCCGGATTAGCGAGTTTGCTGGATTACAGAGTGGTTAGGTTAGAATACACTTAATTAACCTATCAATAGAGACTCTTTCTGCCACTTCTTCCTCATTTTCATCACTGCTTTCTCCTCCACTGGCTTCCTGCTGTGGATTTACAACCATCTGCACAATTTATGAGTCAGTATAATGATGAAATTTGAGTCAGTATAATGATGAAATTTGAAATTATGCTAGCCGAAATTAGTGTCGGATTACTGATGGAACCGGATAACTGATTGCAGGATTAGTGATGACCAACCTGTACTGCTAATAGACAAAACCTCAATGCAGTAGGTTTGGAAGGGAGAACCAACCAGACACTACTACGGGTCCGCCATCACAAATCCGGCAATCAGTTATTCGGTTCCTTCAGTTATTCGGCACTAATTTTGGCTAGCATAATTTCAAATTTCCAGGGTCGCCACACCAACCTGCTGGTACTGTTTGGTGGTGCTACTTGCTGCATAAGTCATTCTAGTTTCTTTTTCTCCATTTATTGTTTTAACCTGCTTACTTTTAGCCCTAGTCATGGTTCCAATGAATAAAAGAAATGCTTCTCATTATGTAAAGCACCTACACAGTACATTATCCATTAAAGATAAGGTGGCTTTGAAGCCACTGTCGGATGCCATGAGCTCAGTCTCACGAAGCAGGAGAATATGCTTTATTATGCTAATATCAACACTACAGCTTATTTGCCTATCACAATTGATCTAATATGACATAATAAACAATATAAATAACATAAAACATGTTAAATACTCCAGAATAAATAATGTTTGGCATAAACACCGAGCAGTTCGACGAAGGTATGAAGAGGATATATGGTATACAAATACCATTCTCCTATCCCTGTCTTGGGGGCTTATATTAGAGAAAACGGAGTATAGCACAGGGCTAACTGTGATATACACTCGTACTGCACCATAAAACTGAAACAAAAAAGTTATTTTCTCTATATAGATTATCACACATAGCAGCATATGTGTAGAGAACCTAGGATAACCCAAAAAAGTCAACATGGCTTGGGTTAGCCATATGTGATTTTTGGTAAATATTCGATTCCCAGCCTGGGTAGAAACATTAGGCGTGTTTCTTTACACCTGTTGTCTATGTTTACCCATCAGTAAATGGGTACCTGGGTGTTAGCCGACTAGTGTGGGTGTTATCCTGGAACACTGACCTAATTTTCTTGAAATACTCTGCATAACAAGCGGCTTTCTATACAGTAGTATGTCACTGATGTCAGCTAGGGCTGTATACCTTGTACATGTACGAGTAGTAAATAAAGATATTATATTATTATTATTATTTTCTCAGTTGTTTGTTAGGTTATCTTATTCAAACTTGGGCAATGTATGATGGAAAGATACTTCTTAACGTACACCAAAAATGAAAGAAATCAGACCATAAATAGCGGAGTTCACTTCTCAGCCATTAGCAGCCGCTAAGCGGTATATTTTTGTATGTTTTTATGGTTATATTCTCATTTTTTCGGTCTCATTTGATAGAATGAAATATATATTACAGAAATAGATATGATTTTGATTGCTTTCATGACGAAAAGTACCTTGAAATTGCGCTCACAGTAGCGAAAATGTTCTGTTCTTTAGCGAAGCTCAAGAGTTAACAAATGACGTCACCGTCCAATACCTGTCCGCCTGCCAGTCCAAATTCTAATACATCGTCTGGGTTGACATTATTTATACAATTATTACAATAATGCAGTAGTCTGCATAACAGCAAATCTTCTATTTTTTTGTGTGAATAAAAATTCCAAATGGTAAGCAAGAGGAATATAAGAGGGGCCTGGAGCCATGACTAATGAACAAAGAAAATGTTATTTTAGTGCCAGGAATGTCTGCATTGTTTATTCTGGACCCTATTTTGAAATTGGCATCTGTTGAAATTTGTGTGAAATCAGCCAAACTGCCAATTTCTGACCACTTTTTTGGGTAGTTGAAATAAGTGAATGGGCGGTTTCTTGTACTCGGTTGACAGACTAGAAGTAAATAAGTTTATTCAGGAATACACACAGTTATAGATTATCATACATAGCAGTGTATGTATAGAGAACCTAGGATAACCCAGAAAAGTCAGAAAAAGTGACTTATTTCCAGTACCTGGCTTGGGCTTGCCATATATGATTTTTGGTAAATATTTTTTTTTCTCAGTTGTTTGTTGGGCTATCTCATTGAAACTTGGGCAATGTATGATGGAAAGATGCTTCTTAACGTACAACAAAAATAAAAAAGATGGATGATAAATAAGGGAGTTCACTTCTCAGCCATTAGCCGCCTCTTTGCAGTATATTTTCGTATGGTTTTTATGGTTGTATTCTCATTTTTTTGGACTCATTGATAGAATGGAAGATATATTACAGAAATAGACATGATTTTGATTGCTTTCATGACGAAAAGTACCTTGAAATTGAGCTCAAAGTACCAGAAATGTTCGAGTTTTGCGTCAGTCAAGTTGGTTAATTTTATTAACTCTGTAATCCGGCAAGCTCAGTAATCCGGCACACTACAGGTCCCAATGATGCCGGATTTGTGATGGAGGACCTGTACTACTACTACTAAAAGAAAATTTCAATGCAATGATCCAAGTCCCTTGCACTGGACATCTGTCTGGCCAAATATTTCATCTGTTATATCAAGGTTTAAACAACAATAATAATTAATAACAATAACTAATATAAGAATAAAATTAATAATAATTAATATTTATAATAATAAACAGTAATAATAATGGATGTGACTGTGATATAGTACAGTATCTGGATCAGAACTATAATACAAAAATATAGGCTTGATAATACAAAGCTTGGTACAAGTGATTACAAAAAATTTAAAGAAATGAGACAGGGTTTACATAAGTGTATAGAGAAGAAAACAGTGATACACTATAGAATTTTACATAGCTTAAGACAATGCACAAACAATAACAATGACTTGATACAGATTCATAGCTATGACTACTCAGTATGTTAATAACACACAAAGATCAAAAGACATTATGTAGAGGTAGTGGAAGTAGTATTGGTGGTAGTGAAAGCAGTGGTGGTATACTAACACACTTTCCTAAAGGTGTGTGTGAGTAGCTCCCTACATTACAAGATTATATATACAGTTCACAAACAATAACTCAAAAAGGCCACTTCTTTTATGTTTTACAAGTAATTTTTTTTTTTTTCGAGATTTCAAAGTCAAGGATGGGAATCATATCAAAATCTAAGACATTCAATATAAAGACATTTTAAATATGTATAAATGGGACTCAATTTTTTCTTGGAAGTTTTATTGCTAGGTCATTTTTAAAACCTTTCAACAAACATTTGAAAAAGCCTCTCATTAATAAAATATGAAAAGATTTGATATTTCAAACGTAATTAGAAAAGTACCAAATTCTCCAGAAATTTTAATCCCTAGTAAAAAACTTCCAAATATCTAAGGAAAATTCCTATAACCAAGAAAATGTTTACAGTGGCAGAAAAAAGAAAACTACAACTTTCAATTTTAATTTTATTCTACAATAGAAATACGTACTAACATCGGTAGGCCGGTAAAACGAAAACAAAGTCTTGCTTTTCCACTCGGTTTCATCTCTGTTTTCATATTTTTTTTTTGCTTATTATGGCTAAAGCCATCAGGTAGTTACCTGTCAACTGAACCATTAGCTTTCATCCAGAAGCACTAGTGTCAACACCTTCCACTCACTATTTGAGTTACCTCTATAGCCTGCATCTCATTTTCTCAGTCCCCTGTTGAGTCTGTCCTTAGGCAGGACATGTGGTGGATCATCCTGCCCATAACAGTACCTGATAGTGATAGCCATATGTTCTCTTGGGATCACAAATTGGCCTGTCATGAGGGCTACCTTGGCAGACCCAAAAGTTTGGTACAAGGCAGGAATTCTACAATTGCCTTGTTTTAAGGATCCTTGTGATTTTGATTTTCCTAAAGTCATAGGCATAAAGTGACCTCTTCCTCTGATGGAGTTTGTGTACTTTTCAAGAGGGAAGCAAAGTACATTCTAAGTCATTGACAGGCATTTCTCAATGTACTTCCCCATTCACCGAGA